TATATGTGTGTGTGTGTGTGTGTGTGTGTGTATAAACAACATAAACAAAATGAGCATCTGAAATAAAATTCTTTTTAATTTCCTTTATGCCTTTTTTATGATACAAAGGAATCTTATCACATTATTGCTAATTAACCTAAACATTTTTGAGTCATACTACTTGTGTGCAAGCAATTTTCCAACTCCTGATGCCTAAAGTTGCTAGTGACATAATGAAAACTGAACTTTTTCAAATGACAGTAGTGCATTTTAAAGTTTTTTTGAAGGTATTTTAAAAAATGTATTGTAACGCTGGAATAGTATAACCATAAAAATATATATATTTCTAAGTATATAAATTTGAAATGTGAATTTTTATGAATTATATATTTTTGCAGAAGTTCAAATACAGTACAGTAGTTTATTCTAGGAATAATGCGTTTTCATTCAACCTTTATTTATACAGGTTAGTCTCGTTGAGCCTCGAGGACTCATTTACAAGTAAGACCTGAGTTTGCCGGAGCCAGGTATAAATAAATAGGAAGATTGACATCTAAAATGTTGATTCTAGTTTTAAACAAAAGACATCCTAGGATCTTGAAATGTTCGTTTCTACGTTTTCGCTACAATTTAATGAAAATGCTTGGATTATCATTATATGAGTAATTCGCTTTCCTTAATTCCTGCGGTTTATCTGCCCACCAGCAGGGGGCGCGCTTCAGGTCTGAACGGAAAAATAAAAAAACAGGCCTTTTCCTCGCTCTTTTGTGGTTCCGCACACCGCGGCACTGTTTCACAAGGGAGAGGAGAAGAAAAGGCCATTTTAATTCTCCAGGGACGTTCAACTTTGTTCCCACCCGGTGGAGAGGTGCTTGCAGTTTACAGCTGCACGGAAAAACATGGACAAGTCGAGTGAGCTGAAACTGTTCCTGGAGTCTTCCCTGAACTCGATTTTCAAAGCGACCGTGAACGAAATCCTGGACTCGGTGGAGCGGACACTGTCCGAGTATCAGGGCGCAATGCAGAGGATCCAGTCTGAAAACGAGGGCCTGAAGCGGCTGCTGTTTGCACAAAAGAGTCCAGAGCCCGCAGACTGTGGAGGTATGTTCTCCTCCTGTCTGCACAAAACACGCAGCTTCACTCTGACTCTTTAAACAAATTCTCTTCATGGCTGATCGTTATCGCCCGCCGCCATTAAATACAGAGGCGGCCGTTTAATTGCCTTTGTCATGTCTGTGTGTGTTTGAGTGCGTGCATGTGGTGTTTGTCTCTCAGTCTGTTAGCAAAATATATCATGATGAACCACTCGACGGATTGTAATAAGTCCGAGAAAGAAATTTGTGATTATTCGCCAATTAACTTTCGGAGTCAATGCGATTCAAGATGGCCGCCAGCTAATCGACTTTAGCATTCACACACAAAAAAGACTGCAAATCAGTTAGTTTTGGAGCTATAGAGCTCAAATTTGGTGTGTTAGTAGCTGAGATGTTTTTCTAACACATGCTCTGATGAAGGCTAACTGCTTGAGACCACCGTCTAAAACTTTTAACGTGCAAGGCCTTTAGCCAGCATTCCTTCCAGGCCTTGGAATGTTAGGAATGCTCCTTTAATTCTTGTCTGCAGGTTGATCCACCTTTTAACACATGAGAGTCACAGGAAAGACTATCTTGAAAGGTTTTGAGTTATATGGAGGTGAAATATAGTTAGCAATGAGAACTACCTATTTATTTTACTCCCATTTCTCAAATAAATGCATTCAATTAAAGTAGTGTTCAGTAAAATCAGTAAAAGAATACGTATCACCCGCCCCCTTGCATACCAAAGTTTTAAACCAAGATCTTGTGGGATCAGTTAATGTTCCAAGTATCATGCATTCATTCATTCAACCTTTATTTATACAGATTAATCCCATTGGGTCTCTGGGACTCTTTTACAAGAGAGACTTGATTTTAACAAAGCGTGATGACAACAGTTGACAATCGTAAAGGATGTGTACAAATGGAGATTTTTTTTTTTTTTTTTTACAAGTGAAAATAAAATGTATTTAAAAGGAAATGTAACCAAAAAATAAAAAAAACAGCTAGGTTGTAAGGCGGTGTAGAAAACTAAAAACAGGAACATGTCTGCATTGTTTTTTCCCAGGAACTTAACAGATGTTTTGAAGCCACTTAGAGAGGTCAAGGTTGAGAGCTTCAGATCTTTTTGCAAAATATTCCAGGAAACAAGAGCGGAGTACGGTAGTTACAGCCAGTTATGAATCTTAGTGCACCATGATAGACAGCATCCAACATCTGCACGTGCTTGTAGGAGCGTTCATGTAAATAATGTCACCGTAATCAATGGAGGGAAAGAAAGTTGCAGTCACAAGGCATTTCCTGGCATTCAGAGTTAAACAGGATCTATTTGTGAAGAAGAAACCCAGTTTAACTTATTTTCCTTACTAGGTTTTCCACGTGAAGCTTAAAAGAGAGATGCGAGTCGACCAAGATAACCGAATGTTTTGTAGGAATCGACAAACTCCACAGGAGCACCATTCGAGGATAAAATCAAAAGGAAGAACTGCTGAGACCGACTTCCCGTTTGAAAACAACATCCTTTTGGGCTTGTCGGCTTTTAAGACGAGCTTGAGACGGAACAAATCAGACTGGATGATGTCCAAAACGGATTGCAAAAGCTGGAAAACCTGAGCATGTCTTGGGAGAGGACTCTCAGCTACTACCACCAGGTTGTAGCTCAGCGGTTGTAAAATTGACTGCGTTGTCGGTGTTTGTGTTTACAGTCTTTAAATGACAGCCATCTTCAACTGGGTTGACTTTAAAAAGTAACTACATTCGCATCCAAGTGTTCTTGCCTAAGAATTCCAATAAAATCCATGACGGTTTGCTAACAAATATGCAGACCAAGGCAAGTACATGATCGCTCGTCAGCATGAAAGACAGGTTATTAAACAACTCAGTAAAGTTAAGATGACATCATTTACATATTAAGCAGTACTACAGATCTGTTGAGCAGTAAGCCCACCAGAGAGTAAACCTTCATTGAGGCAAATAAAGTGAACAAAGAACATGGATCCATCTTTAGAACCTTCTTTCCCCGTGCAAACAATTAAACCAGTTAATTTCAGTTATCCTTACTTGCAACCATAAGATGTGTATAAGTTTAAAAATGAACCAGGGGAACGCTGTGCAAATGTTTTCTGTGATACAGCACTGTTCCTACTGTGTGACTGTAAACTTTGTATATCAATGCATCATGTAGAAATGCAATTATTTGTTTTTATGATTTTCAACAACTTGCTGGAGTTTCTAGTATAAATATTTTAGACTTATTTTTTGCCTTAACCACTAAGCACTTGTGATTTTTCTAAAGATCAAAAAGACCCCTCACACGAAGTTGCATTTTCTTTATAACAACTTAGCATAAACGGTGTTGGATGATCTATACAGACAATGATGCAACTATGCGTTGTGTTGTGTGCCAGTAACGGCTGTGATTTACCCAAAAGGAACCGGAACAAACGTTTTTTTGGGCTCCTAAAACAAATTTAAGGCGCTTGGCAGAGTATATTTTATTAGAGCATCAGATTTCAAGTAGGTGCAAGTAAAAAAAAAACTTTTCATGCTGGATTACACTTGATATGAGATTTAAGGCATTTTAATCTGTATCCTAACTAAACAGGTAAAAAGGTCTGGAAGACGTGTTGGATGAAGATGTGTAAAGGTTAAAATATTACAGCTTAAAGGAAATAAAATTGAACTGCCAAGTGTGGTGACGCCTTTAAATGCCAGTGTTAATTTTAATGGAGAATTTTTAGTTAGATGGGCAGCACAGTGACACAGGTGGTAGAGTTGTCGCCTCTCGGCATCAAAGGTTGCAAAATTAAATCCCAGCCAAGTTCCTTTCTGGGTGGAGTTTACAAGTTCTTTCTATATAAGTTTTCTCCATGCGCTCTGGTTTCCTCCCACGTGTTTGGCTAATGGGTACCGTATTTTCCAGCGTGTAAGTCGCTCCGGAGTATAAGTCGCATCAGTCAAAATAAAAAAAAAGCATCATGACGAGGATAAAACATGCAAGTCACTTCGGCGTGTAAGTCGCATTTATTATGCGTCACCGCTGACCCGTCGCGTTTATTATACATTTAATGGTCAAAATAGCTTAATTTCTTCCTGGGCAGTGCGGCGCCGTCCATCCATCGCAGCTGGAGTCGCTAGCTTTCCTGTGTTCGTCCGACTGCACCATCTGAGTGAAGCGAGCGAGCACGGGAGGACTCGCGGTTGCAGTTCTTCGAAATTTAAAGCATCAGTCAAAAATTGTGTTGTGAATATGGGAAGAAAAAAAACGTATATAAGACGCAGGACTGACAAATCTATGCGAAAAACTGCGGCTAATACGCCGGAACATACGGTAAGTACAAATAGTCCCTAGGTGCGAGTGAGAGTGAGAATGGTTCTGTCTCTGTGTCCCTGTAATGGACTTGCAACCTGTCCACAATGATTGCTGGACATGGGATACCAGAGACCTTCTGCAACCAGGAAGTAGCAAGATAATGATGGTTATAGATCACTCCATTATAGTAGAGCTCCCCCCAGTGGAGAAAACGGTCATTTTATCCATCCATCCATTATCTTCACCAGCTTCTTCCTTTTCGGGTCACGGGGGTCACTGGTGCTCATATCCAGCTATCACTGTGTGAGAGGCAGGGGACACTCTGGACAGGTCTCCAGCCCATCCCAGGGACACGGAGGCAAACGAGTCAAACAACCATTCACTTTCTCATTCACACCTAAGGACAGTTTAGAGTTACCAGTCATTCTAACATGCATGTTTTTTGTCTGTGGGAGGAAACCGGAGTACCCGGAGAACCCCACGCATGCACGGGGAGAACATGCAAACTCCACCCAGAAAAGCCCTCGGGCGGGATTCGATCAGACAACCTTCTTGCTGAGAGGCGGCAGCTCTATAAACTGCACCACCGTGCTGCCAACAGTCATTTAATCTTTTACAAAATCAGTTCTTTTTGATTTTCTGTCACAGCTGTGTATGTTTGCTTGAGTAAAGTTGATTTAAATCTTTATATGTTAATTATTCTTGCTTCTCACTTTTAGATTCATGTGAACAAGATGCCACTGAGCAGTTTTCTGCTCCGGAATGGCCAGATCAACCCTCCAGCTCCACCCAGGGTACGTTCAAGGTGTCCATATGCAGCAGTGACAAGAAGAGCTCCAGAAGGAAGAGTAAAGCCAAGATTAGGGAGACTACGGCTCCATCTTCGTTTAGTCTGCAGGCAGATCAAACGGGAGAACCACCATGTGCCAACACATCCACTGATATCCCACTTCCTGTAAACCCACAGTCCAACATGAATGAAAATGGTGCCATTGACCTCTCGCAGCCAGCACTGTTTTTCGACATGATGATGAAGTCCATGCAAAATGATGGACATTTCACCAAGACTGAGGATGAGGAGAACGAGGCGCTGTCGGGTCCTGACGCTCTGCCTCACCCGCAGCAGAAGCACGAGTTGGGCTTTCCGAAATCCGACCTGGATCCAGAGGAAGGCAGCTCACAAGACATGGAGCGAGAAGAAACGTCTAATCAAAGCGATTCGGCTGCAGAAGAGTTTCTAGAAAAAGCGAACCCCTTTTATAGCTGCGCCGCCTGTCCAGAGACATTTACAGATGAAACCTCGCTCAATATCCACCTCAAGACTCACAGCAGCGAGGAAACCCACGACTGCAGCATCTGCGGAAGACGCTTCGGCCGGATCAACCTCCTCAAATCCCACATGCGTTCCCACTCGGGAGGAAAAGCCTTCATCTGCAACATCTGCAACAAAGCGTACACCCACGCACGCCAGCTGAAGATTCACAAAAGCGGCCACACCGGAGAGAAGCCGTTCTCCTGCTCGTTCTGCAGGAAGCGCTTCAGCGCGCACAACCTGCTCAAAGCCCACATGCGGACCCACACCGGAGAGAGGCCGTACGTGTGCCGGCAGTGTGGCAAAACGTTCAGCAACCCAGGGAATCTGTGCATACACCGGAGGCTGCACACCGGCGAGAAGCCGTACTGCTGCGCTCACTGCGACAAGAGGTTCAAAGTCCTGGGCGACCTCAAAATCCACACCAGGACGCACACCGGAGAGAGGCCGTACAACTGTGAGATCTGCAAGAAGACCTTCAGCCAGATGAGCCACGTCACCATCCACATGCGCATACACACGGGAGAAAAGCCGTTCAGCTGCACCTACTGCACCAAGAGCTTCAGCCGCTCGGGTCACCTGAAGAGACACGAGCTGCTGCACACCAAAGAGACACTGTTCCCCTGCAGTCTGTGCGGGAAGGCCTACACTGACAAGTCCTCGCTCAAAAAGCACATGAAGTCGCACGCGTCGAAGGAGCAGAAGGAGCAAAGTGAGGCGAGCACCAGCGAAGCTGCGACGAACAAGCTCGAACCTTAATCTGAGACGTTTCCAGCTGGGATTAAAATCTAAGTGAAATAGCTGAAGATGAGGAAATTAAGTCAACGATAGAATAACGTTAAGCACTTTCAGAATACATTTACATCCAGCTCAAAGTACTTCGAATTTGATATTTCCAAATATGGTATTGTGTTAAAAGTGAAGAAGATGAAATGAATCTGTCCTATTTTCTAAAGCTGAAATATTCGTTGTGTCGACTTGTTTTCTGGCGTCTGAAACACGAGCTTTAATCTGTTGTTGGAACAGGATTATGTTGTTTCATCTTAAAACAAGAGTTGGGCGTCGGATAAGAGCCACACATTTGAGTCGATGCTCCCAGTTCTGTTTCCTGCATCCATCAAATATAAATCTTTATACATCTTTAATTGCTGCCTGCTTTGTACATATGTTCTTTTTAGTACACGTGAGAAGACACTTTTTTTTTTTGTCCTCCACTGAGGACAAGTTTGTTGTGCATGATTGAAACGTAACACTTTAAACAACACTGCCTGTGAACTGACACTTGTAACGGTTAAGTTATTCAACTTTTTGGGGGATAAAGCAGCCCCTAGAGTCATCTTTTACTCCTTTATTTTTATTATTATTTTTTATAAATGTTCATTCATTCATTGTCTTTGCCTGTGCAAACTTTGATCTTAACCTTGCACAGTTTAGGCACGTATTTTTGATTTATTTTTTATTTTAAACTGCGCTTTTTGTTGTGAATGGGCTTCAGGAGTAGACACTTAATCGTTTCTCAGAATTCTTCGATAAAGCTCTAGTTGTCATTTATTTAATTAAATTCCCTTCAAGTTGAGTTTTGTTTTCCGTAAGGATGTCGACCAGATAAACGTGATCGCCTCTGGACCTTGGGCTGTATTTTGCCCATGCGTGCCTTTTTAGAACCAGTGTTTAGACCAGGCCAAGTATGGAAGATTTTATTTTCTTCATCTTCTGACACTTCTCGTTTTCCTGTATTGTCCTTTTCATAACAAACCACAGGGAAGTGACTTATCATGTTTGATGCTCATGTTAAGTGCAAACCTTCCTCCAAACGTGGACATCCTACACACACTGCTCTAATCAAAGCCTTCAACACAATTTAAAAAATGGGAATATATTGGATACAAAAAACAAGTTTTAGTCAACTGAGTTATGTGGTTGAATATTCCCCAAACGTTTCAGCTTCTGATTATACAAAATGACAGCGGCAGAAACTTGTAACCCCCATTACCTTCGGTCGTGGTACACAAACATTACTATAAAATTAAATAAGGGTTATGACAAAATATTTCATGTTTAACGAACCATGATGGAGGCCTCAACTTTGCTAAACCACTTTTTTTATTATCAGCTAATGGTTTAAGTTCCAAAGAAATTAATAAAATGAACAGTTCAGAGCCATTTCAGGTTGAAGTTGGGTTATAAAGCTGTGTTGTGGTAGTTGTTCCAGTCCTATACACGGCTGTTGCACAGTCGTTTTTAAATATGAATGATAACTTTGTTGGAAAGCTCTACTGCTCATGTAGTGTTCTTGTACACAGCAAACTGAGACGGGTAGATGTTCTGTGGGTGGTTCTAGCTTTTGATCTAAACTCTTCTAATGAGGGTCGTTGCGTACACTTAACACATCTGTCATATCAAGTACTGGTAAATTTAGTTAAAACATCTTTTTTTTTAATGGCTTAAGACAACCAATAGAAAGCTGTAAATAATGACACTGTAAGGTTAGCAGATCCATTAAAATGCAAATATTGTATGCGCCTTGTAATGTTGGTGACAGTGTTGCTGTAAATCCTCTATATCCATCACGAGTTCAGATTAATGGCTGTTTCTTTACGTAATGTTGATCAACAAATGTGGGACTTCTCCAGGATGTGAAGTTTTACAGTAATGCCACAACTTATGGTCAGTTTATATTTTTTAAACGTCATTTTCAAGACCGTACAGCTTCAGTTTGTTGTGACAGCCGGATGATGTATCATTGGCCGCAAGTGCATGAATCAGTGTACAGTTAGTCTTTACTCATAGACTTTCATTGTGATTTGATGTGGTTTTTGTCCGGATTAAAGAACTATATTAACCCACGAGAGGTTGTCCTTTTTTTTTATTTTTATTTTTTTATTTTTTTTATCCATTTATTTTTTTATTCAATTCCTAAAACAAACGACAGGTTTCTTTCTATGCCATGACCCCAGAGCATTACCCCGGTAATAGCATTTTTCAATTATACAACAACAAACGGTCAGGTGTGACGATGGTGAAAATGGACGAAGACGTCAAGTTAAAAAGAAACCTTTTTGAATCTAATCAAATTAAAAATGTGCTTTAATTCGTTAGTTTACGGTGTTTGGTTGTACATCTGGTTTGCAGATTTGTGAGCTTCACTTGTGTATAATTGGCTTGTCAAATTCTGCGGCACCGGTAGGAACAGGAAATTCATTATTAAATACAACATTAAATCAAATACACAATTAAATTATTAAATACACAGTTATGCATTTATTTCATTTTGTCACATTCTGTCCTCCATGGCTTTTATTTCACAAATGAGACTTTAAAACGACAAAGTCCATGCTCAATCGTCCAAATCCAATAATTCTCAGTCGGGTCATCTGGACAGTTTCAGTAAACGGTAAACTCCTTAAGTGGACCAACCAGTTTTCTGGAGACTGGAACTCAGACTGATGAAGCCCTCTGGATAGAGGGAGAAACGTCTCTATAAAAATAAACTGTCCAGACTACCCGACTGAGAATTATTGGATATGACTTTAAAAGTTAAAACTACTTTGAGCTCGTCCCCACCAGGTGGGCGGGGTCATAGTGCCGGGTCCCGCCCACCTGACTGAACCGCAGTTCCGGGTTCGGTCGAGAGCTGCTGCCAGGCGGGACCATGACTCTTTTACTGCAGAACCAGTTTAAAGAACTCCCCCCTGACAGCTCGGTGGACACCAAGACGTTCCTGGACAACGTGTCGCATCTGCCGTCGTTTTTTGGTGGGTACTTGAACGCAACACATCAGGTGATCAGGCGGCTCAGACTCGGCAGACCGGTTCCTTCAGCATTATTTCAATCAGGGACCAGCGAGAATTCTTTTAAAACATTGTTTTTAATGTTCTGTCCTTCATGAATGGTGATGTTGGGTCACGGGGAGGATCTGAACCAAACTCTTTGTTAAACAGCAGAACAAGCTGCACATTGACCTCTTGTGGCTTCACTGTATTCACTGTCTTTTCTCCTCTTTCTGCCCTCTGAGCCATGGAGTCATTCATATTTTATTGCTGTGCTCTCACATGTCTGTCCCCCTGCAGACTGCTTGGGCTCTAGAGTGTTTTCAATCATCAAATCAGACATTAATGGCAACATAACGGTAAGAAACAACTCACCTGGAGCTCATGTTGTACCACGTTTGACTTTAAACGCCTCATGAAGTGTAGTGGCTCAGCTCTGTTGTGCAAACTAAACAAATGCACTCTTTTTAAAATAAATTCTCAGAAAATAAGAGCAGTTTACCTCAAGGATCCTGCGAAGTACGTGACCCTGAAGGACATTCTGGTGGCAGAGCGAGAAGCCCACGGAGCAGAATGGCCCAAAGTGGGAGCAACTTTAGCTCTGATGTGGCTGAAGAGGTGAGCGCTCCCTCTGAGCAGTTAGGTCACACATCAGGTGAAGTTTCTGAAGGCCTGCTCCTCCTCCCTTCCTCCTGTGCAGGGGGCTCCGTTTTATCCAGGTCCTGCTGCAGAGCTTGGCTGATGGAGAACGAGACGAGAACAACCCCAACCTGATCCGGGTCAACGTCACCAAAGCGTACGAGCAAGCGCTGAAGAGATACCACGGCTGGATCGTTCAAAAGGTTTTCAACGTAAGACAAAACGATGGCGACACGTTGGAAGCTGTAGACGGAGTGAAATGACACATTTTCTGTGTTATTGTCACGTTTTGTACTGATTCTTGCATCAGTTGCCTCTACTGGATGAACGTCTACATCCGATTACCATTTGGAGTCGGTTTGAGTCAAGATGGCTGCCACAGCCAAGTGGCCTTGAAAAACAAGAAAATTAGGGATGCACGATATTATCGGCATTGTATCGATATCGGCTGATATTAGCGATAAAGTTAAATATCGGCCATTCCATCAAAATAACTCACCGATGTGAAAGGCACCGTTTTATTTTTAATAAATAGTATATATTTATATATTGCTACATCATTTTCAGCCCCCTTTTTGGCATCTGCATTTGGTAGCAGGCCAAAATGACAAAGACCATGCAGAATAATGTATTTTAATTCCACAGCAGAGAAAGCTCTGTAGTCTCTGTAAGCAGGTCTGGGGACAAAATATTGGTATTGGTATCGGTTATCAGCCAAATAAGTTTTAACATATCGGATATCAGCCAAAAATCCAATATCGTGCATCCCTAGTTTGAACCCTATTTTACAAATATAGAGCTAAAATTTGCTGTGATAGTGTGTCGATTCAAGATGGCTGCCACAGCTTAGTAAAACTAGCCAACACAAAAATGTCTATAACTCAGTCATTTTTACAGAAATTGGAATAAAATGTAATATTGCAGTTACTGAGAGTCCTTCAAAACACATACTCAGAGCATGAAACGATCAAGAAAGATGATGATGTAAAAAAATGTAGCGATTGTTTTGAGTTGACCGTGTCGAACTCATGAGCTACGTGACAAAACTCGCAACCTTTTTCTGTGGCTCCTGACAGGGTGGTGTCAAATTGTTTTAGGGAGCCACGCTCATTTATTTTTTAGACATCTCTTCCAGTTTAATCAAATTACAGGGATTAATGAACACTAACCCTGCGTTTGAGATGGCAGGAGTCCCTCCAGAAAGGCAGGTGTGGCCAGATGTGGAGTTCACTGATAATGGCGCAGCAAAACCAAAAGGCCGTAACGGAATTTAATTTAAAGAGCGACTTCAGGATGAACTACTGCTTTCCCTCCAAAACGTTCAAGCACCAGCTTGAGGTGGTTTTGTTCATTATCTGCCTACAAGTTCAAGTTTTTTCTGACTATATACAAACAAGCTTGATTCCAAAAGCTCTTTATGTTTTTGTGTCAAACACAAACCACATCCTTGTACTCAACCGACTCATTTTATTTGATTCATCTAATGACAGATGTGGAGAGCTCTGATTGTGTGAACGTTTATGAAGCATTCACAATATTGAGATCAGGTTTTCTTCTGTACGTTTTTCAGCAGCTTTCTTGTTCCACAATTTTTGAGCTATTTCAACAAATCGTATATCAAAACATTCAGGATAATCCTGCCATGATTTTTGGTATTGGTGCAACTTTAGCTTTTTGAAATATTTATTCTTTTCTGACACTTTTTTTTTCCTCATAGAAAATGAATTGAGCTCATTTTACATCCTTCAAATCTTTAGAGCTGTTTACAACCTTTTTCTGCTCCTTTCACATTTTGTTCTGGTTCAGCTTCTTGTAGCTTCTTTGTGCAAATTTAAACATTTTTCAGCTGTTTTTTCTGCTTTTTTGTGCTACTTTCAGATTATTTCGGCTAACCACATTTTTGTGCTTCCTCAAACTTCTTTCTGCTAATTTCAGCTTATTATGCTCCTTTCAGCTTATTTATGCAAGTTTCAGCCTTTTCTGCTATTTCAACTATATTTAGCCGTTTTATGCTAATTTTAGCTTTTTTTTGGCTACTTCCACATTTTTTGCATTCATTTCAACTTTTTTCGCCAAATTCAGTGAAAATGTGCTCTCTCCACTTCCTTTCAGTAATTTAAACTTTCTGAATTTTTAGGTACTTTTCAGCTGTTTTTTGTTGCAAATTTCTGCTTTTTTCCAGATATTTTCCACTTTATGCGCTAATTTCTGCTTCTTTCAGCCTTGTATTATTTGCTGTCTTATGCCAATTTAAGCGTCTACCTTTTCAGCTAAATTCTTAGCATTTTTTGCTAATTTCAGCTGTTTTCAAATAAATTCAAGTTTTTTCATGGTAACTTCTTTGTTCAGCCTAATTAACTTTTCTCTGCTATTTTAAGCTTGTTATGCTCCTTTCAAGTTATTTCTGCTACTGTTTAGCTGTTTGTATGCTAATTTAATATTTTTCAGCTAATTCCAATTTTTTTTTGGCTCATTTCAGCTCCTTCAACTTCCTCATGGCAGTTTAAGCTTCTTTATGCCTTTTCAGTTACTTTTCAACTTTTTTTTGGCTAATTTTAGCTTTTTATTTTTTGCAAATTTTCTAATTTGTATGCAAATTTCTGCTTATTTAAACCTAATTCGGCAAATGTTCTTTCTGCTTTCTTCTACTAACTTAGGCTTGTTCTTTCACTTCAGCTACATTTCAGCGCGTTTTAGTTAACTTCAACAGGTAAATTCACTCAGACTTTAGTATCCGGCTGTTTGAGTTATAAAGCTAAGAGTTACAAAAACAAATTTTAGAAATTACCTTTATATTTAAATTTCCTTAAAAATTCACATGGAGCCTTAAGATTTTAAAAACACCCACTTTTGTCACATTTTGTGCTGAAACCTTGTTGATTTATTTTTGAAAGCACAAAAATCATCCTCTTATTTATTTTTTAATTCTGTACCTTATTCACACTAGTCATGCATAATCAGGCAGATATTTAGCTAACTGTTTCATGTCCGTCTCGCTCAGTTTTAACCACGGACAACTCATGAATTTCCTTTCTGTTTTGTGTTTTAGGCGGCGCTACTTGCAGCTCCCTACAGATCAAACTTCCTCAAGGCTCTGTCCAAGGGGGAGGAAGTGAAAGAGGAAGAGTGCCTGGCAAATGTGCGTCACTTCCTGGTAAACTACACGGTCACCGTAGACGCCATCTACGAGATGTATGCAAATCAGAACGCAGAGCTGGACTACACGGTTTGACGTCCCAGGATGCAGCTGGACTGGGGGTGCGAGCGGCGTCCAACGTGGTTTTAACTGGGCTGTTTATATAGTTTTCCTTTCCGTGTGGGATTATTACTTAGCCAAAATTAGCCATGTTATTATACCAATTCTTGTTTGTTCTTCCTAACCTTCACTGATAATCTGACTCTGGGAACGTTTATCACCTTATTATTTATATATATATATATATTTTTTAACTACATCTAATTTCCATTTAAATACCAAAACACCACAATGTGCCTTGCTCTGACAGTTAAGTGGTTTGTTCTGTGGCCTTTGCCTTGTCTGAAAGCCTTTAAACAATATATTAAAATAATATAATTAATTTATATATAAAAATATATATTTATTTAAAATGTATTAATTAGAGCCATATTTTCTGTATGAATACTTTATGAATAAATAAACCATTTGATCAATTATGTTGTGTCCATTAAGCCTTAAACTGTTTAAAGTGTAGAAATTAAATTCAAAGATCTTACACTAGGGGGCAGCATTTACTCGGTTTTCTTTATTGATGTTTTATCATTCTGGCATTTTAAATCACATTTAGTTTTTAAACAAGTGTCATTCCAGCCTAACTTTCTTTATCTAAAATTTTACTGCTGCAGGTTTGTTTAAAACAATTCTGTTTAAGTTGACATACATTTAGTGGAAACATTTTGATATTGAACACATTTTCATGGTTTCTCCTTTGATTTTGGTGCAAAAAAATATATATATATCTGTATTCCACATGTATCCTAGTCCTCTTCACGAGCTGCTCTCTTACTCTGCCCACTTTTACTTGTCTAAAGTGACTCCCAGAGGTCGGGAGTGATTCTGGTTCCTCTCCCAGTGGAACCCGAGATGATCACCTCTGAGCACGAGGAACTCGTCTGTAATCCTGGAGGTTTATCAGCTGTCCTGCTTGACAGGATGGAAAAACTTGCAGAAAACTCAGAATACAAAAGGGATAGAGACTACAACTCGTTTTCAACAATGGCTTCAATTAGTAAAATCACCGACCTTTAATAAAATGCTTACCTGGAGTGGTCATGCAATCCCAACACTGATTTTAGTCTGCTCATCTCATTTCCATGATGATCTAAGCCCGTGGTTCCCAACCCTGGTCCTTGAGGAACACCATCCTGCACGTTTCAGTTGTTTCCCGCTACAACAGACCTGATTCAGTGATTTAATTACTTCAAGTTCTGCAGAAGTCTGTTAATCATCCATTCATTCAAATCAGGTGTGTCAAAGCAGGGAAACAAAACATGCAGGATGGTGTTCCTCAAGGATCACGGTTGGGAACCACCGAAATTAGCACTAGAGCTTTAAAACATGCTGCAACTGGACTAGACCAGTGACTTATCAGGTAACACCTGGTTGATTTTTAACAATAAAAACTCAAATATTCTTGTGCATTTTTTCACGTAACAAAATCAAGAGATAACTAGTAAATTTTCATTCACACAAGTGTTTCTGAAGGATTTAAAGTCTCCCGCTTCAAGCACTGCCAATCCATCATTCAGAAGAACTAAATTAAATCTGAGCTGCAAAATCCAATGTGTTTCAGACAGAAAATAACATGCATTTTAGAGCTTAAATCTTATCGTAATGATTAAAAATATATAATTTCCTGGAATAACAGTGACCGCTGAATGACTGAGAGGATAATCAAACTGTTCAAAGTTGAAAAAAAAAAAAAAAAGATAATTTAATTTATCTGCTCAAATTGCTCAAAACAGTGGCTAAATATTAAAACTTGCACTAAATACTTAAAGCTAAAATGAGCTAATCTGTAAGAAAAAATTAACAAAGCAGTTGCTAAAAGCTAAAATCAGCAAAACAGTAACTTAAAGCTAAAATGAACAAAACTGTTGTTAAAAGCTAAAATCATAGCAGTAGCTAAAATCTGAAATTAGCAAAATTACAGGTAAAAGCTGGCACGTCAAAACCAAATCAAAAGCTAAAAAGATCCACACCATAGCTAAAAGCTACCACTTGCAAGTAGCTAAAAGCTTAATGGAGGACAAGACGACAAGGCAGAGCAAGTAGCGTAGCACCCATGTTTGTAAAGAAATTGAACACCATTTCTATGGGCATTGAAAAGTTCTGAAAAGAACAAAGAATAAAAATGTAGAAAATTGAAAACACTCTTCCCAATAGAGAAACATTTTTATGTGTCGGGTAAAACGGTGCCAAGTATGTGAAGTATTCTGCCTTACAGACTAAATCTAAATGTGTCAACTGTAGAGACTGTACTAGCTGGGTTTAGAAAATGTTATTTACTGTTTTAAATAAAAAGAGACAAAGGTTTGTGGTCACACATTGCAAAAAAGGCATAATTTATAGAGGACTCACAGGTTCATGTGTAATAATTGCACTTTATATTAACTATAGAGAGAATTTGCCATAGAAGTCTCCAGGCCAACATAAATAGTTGTACAGAATCGTCACAAACAACTGCTGAGTCACACATCTCAGGTCGTTCCAGACCATATAGCCCTACAGTGAATGATTCAAGCAGCCTGCTTTCCAACACCAATCATTTTGTTAAAACAACCTTAAGGTGAACAAATGTAGTTCATTCAAAAAACAAACTAATTGTACAACTTTTTCCACTTTAAAAATGTAAATAAAAATAAAAAATACAGGCCAAGAATGCACCTTTCTTGGTCTGGATGCAACACTGAGCTCTGCATGACACCAAAAGAATAAACTAAAATTAGGACATTAAATGATAACATTTAACTGAATGACAGAAAAATGATTACATCTTCAAACAGTGGTTGTGAGCGTTCATCAAAGTGAATCATTTCGTCATTGATATTCTTTCTGGATCCAGTTGTGTCGTTGTTGATTGGCTCCCCCTTCTCATTTCAGCTCCACTTGTTTCCATTTTTGGAAAGGCCTACAAAAATCAGTATAAACCGCGAGTGTGATCCAGTGTTAAATCAATCACAGCAGTCAGTAAAGATGCAAAAGTAAAAAGAGTCCGTAGCGCACGCTTGCATCTCAAATCCTGATTATCACTTTCCTTCTTTTTTCCAGGCATAAAACACAAAATCTACAAATACATGCACAAATCAAAGAGGCATGTTTAAACTTTAAACAAAAAAACGTCTTGCGTGTCTCTCAGCGTGGCAGCACCTATCTGTAGACGGGGAGCTGGATGTGCTGTTGGTGCTCCAGCAGCTGAGGCATCCCCACGGCGTCGTACCCGCGGCCCAGCATGCGCTCTTTGATGCAGGGCGGGTGGATCTCACTGATGAGGCACTCCAGAGACTGCAGGCTGCTGCTGAGCACTGCAGCGTGGCACAGGCTGACACTAGGCAGCCCGCAGCACTGGTTTTGGTCCGTGGCGTAGGTCTGGAGGTGAGGGTGAGGATGGGGAGGATGAAATGGAAGAGGAGGGTGGAGCTGTGGCTGGAGGTGCAGGTGGGAGTGCCTCACGTCTCCAGGCCTGGTCGTGCACGGGCCTAACACTTGAGAGGCGTAACAGTCGCTGCTGGGGTCGTCCCAGAGTGGAGCGAAAAACTGTCCGACCGGCCGCTCCCCTGGAACACCGCCTCGGTCCGGTCCAGCTCCCATGTTTCCAGAGTGCTGCCTGTACGACAGCTGTGACGAGCACGGCAGTGGGAGGCCAGTTTCAGGAGACTGGCCCACACCAGCCTCAGCTGCCCCGCAGCCCCCCACACCGTACACCCTCACTGCTTCCTGCTGATACGGCTGCTGCTGCGTTTGAGCTTTGTGCCGCCACACCGTGTAGTCTCCTCTCTCCAAGTAGCCCGTTTTGGCTGTGTCTGCGCCCTGCGTCGGTAGCACTGCCCCCGCAAATGCCAAACTGCTCTGGGGCGGCACTCCAAAGGCAAAGTCGGAGCCTGTATGCGCCACTGCAGCCACGGCCTGCAGCGAGGGGCTGGCTCGAGCCGCTCCCCCCGGCTGCAGGGCCTGATCGTAGGGAACTCTGCTCATCTGCCTCATCAGGCTTTGAACCTCTGCCAGCTCGTTCTGGGGAGCCAGGCTCTGATCTCCGGAGGCCATTCCTGCAGTAGAACAAAGCGTTTTAACGGCTACATCCGGGGGCTCACAGGAGCTTATGCGATAGGCCTCATGCCCGTGTCGGACCTTGTAGCTATTGTTCAGAGGATTATTATACGGTGCCACAGAGGTCTGGGGGTTTGCATGTTTAGTCTTCCTGCCCTCAGAGGTTTTTACCACACCTTTGACCACCACAGAGGCTTTGACGATGGCCAGTAAGCCCTGGTAGCCTCCAGAGTGCGGGTGTGAGTAGGGGCTGTAGCGTTGGCCCGTGGTGTCCAAGCCGTTCACAGTTCTGTTAAGCTGCTTGTGTTGTGGCACCCGTACGTCAGACGGAAAGATTTTGATGGACAACGGGCTGTTGGCGGTCTTCTGGGCGAAAGCATCCAACTCTGCAGGAGATGGATACCGAGAGATCATGGAGCTCGATTCCCCTGGGAGGTACACAGACAGAGAAGGTGATTAGAACAGACTTGGCCCAGAGAAGTCTGGTTCTGTTGTTTTCAAGGTCAAGGTGTTTTTATTGTCATTCACATCACATGTGGTACATGAGGTGGAACGAAACTATGTACACAACTATGTACATTTTTCCCATGTATTCCCACATACTGTACTGTATGTTGTAGGAGATAGTAGACATCAGTAATAAATACATTTAAGAAAGAAACTGCCTTTGGCACTATTAAATCTGACGTTTAAGTGATAAATTCAGGCTTAGTTTACCCCAAAATAAAACAGAAAATGGAAATAAAAGAGAAGAGGAGATTTAATGCACATTATTGCATCCAATGAGACATTTTGCTCTAAAAGCACTCATTGTAAATTCACAATGACTGGACAAAATCTGCACACTGTTTTTTCCTCATAACAATGGTTTATGTGTACTTAAAATAGAAAAATTGTAAGCAACATTTGTGAGCAGATGCCAACTACCACATGCTTTTTTTAATCAACAGAGGAAGCCGAAGAGACTGATAAAAGGTTAACAGTGCCCGCCATATTTGTTTACATGCATAAAGACCACCCTACTGCAGGTCAACCATGTGACACAAGCTTCATGTGGTGGATTCAACCAAATGTTTTGTTTACAATAAGTGTGGACCCGCATTTTGGAACTGCGTTAAGTATATCTGTAAAACTACTGGGTGCACCATTTGATGTAGTTTATGAAAAACTTTTTATTGTTTGGTTTCTGCAGGAGACCGACATGCATAAAACATTCCAGGAAAGTCAACAATTTTCAATTGTTTATTATAAAAACTGGTTATGATCTTTAGATTCTGTAACTTTACAGAACTTTTATACATTAATATATAATATACCCAGACAAATGAAGATATATAGAACCAACTAAATAAAACAGGAGCTACAGTATATAAGCACATTATAGGCTTTTTAATACTTTAAAATAATTTGAATGTCTATTTTAATACATTTCTTGACATTTATAATGATTCAAGGAAAACCAGCTATCCTTAAAACACATTTTGTGCAACTTACTCATTTTAAAAATTGGGACTAAATCTGTTAAAGCGGCCTGTTAAGTAGAGGCAATCATCACGAGCACTGTTGATTGAATTCTGTGTAGAAAAGCAGAAAAGGAAAACAAAGTTTGATTTTAAACACTATTATTTAGGCTGTTTTAATTGCTGCTTATTCTTTTTATAGGCAAAGAAAAAAAAGCCTCATTTTGAAAATAATAATTCACCTACTGTAAATGACTGCCACCTTTCAAAATGACATTTTAAGGAATTCCTAACAGAAAGGAAAAGCCACTAAAGTTAACCCACATCACAGTGGATCAGTGGAAATCTCAGCATGCAAAAGAACAAGGTTGTAATCTGCAATAAAGGGCAAAAAAAATAATAACCCCCTCCCTCACTTCATTTCATTTTCAATAACAAAACCAATTCCAGCTACGCGGGGTAGGGCTTGCTCATTGTTCCCATTTGAAATTGATTTGGGAGTTCATTTCATTTCAGGCCTACGGTGAGCCTCCTGACTGTGAACATGACTCAATCTACAAGATCCACCTCATGAAAGAAATAAATTGGGTGTTTAAAATGGAGGAAGAAGGGAAAAGGCAGAGTGTTCAATCCATCCAACAATCTCCCAGCGGAGCAGAAGGAACAAGCGCCATGGTGCCAGGAGCACGAATGAACTCTGCGGAGAAATACAAGAAAAGCACAAACACGGCTTATTATGTTTCTGTGCAGGGCTGCTATAGAAAACAATGACATGTGGGATGTTGACGAGCTGTTTGTACTGTACACAGCATCAAGATGTGAGCGCTACTTTCCCATAATCCTTCATTTGAAGAAACCAAAAAAAATAAAAATGCCAGCTGTTATAACTTCTGACTTTTGGATAAAAATGCACAATTCATGAGCATAAAAGAGAACAGAAAGAGGATCATAACCACCTAAAGGAGCTTAGATGACCATAAGAGATGACATATTTAAAAATTTACCATATTTTCTGGACTATAAACGTCTATTTTTTCCACAGGCTTTGAACCTGCAGCTTATACAATGCTGTGGCTAATCCATGGATTTTATTTTATTTTATTTTTGACGGGCTAACAAGCTTCCTGCCACCAAACCATTTATTTCACACCTGGGTGCTCTCAGAGCTGCTCTCTCTTGGTCCTCATGATACATTGAGACTACCTGAATAAACAAGTTATTAAAAAAAAAAATCTAACCAATGAAATTACAGAACAGGTAGGCCTGTTACGCTAACAAATTTTGCAGGGCGATTAATTGTCTCAGAAATTATTGCGATAAACGATAATATTGTTTGAAATTTAACAATAATTAATTGTCAAATTTTAAAAAGGAATGTTGATTTGTTTGGAATGTAGTACATTTTCTGACCACTTGATGGCAGTATAAGACTGTCTGACCCAAAGGATGGATAGTTGAGCAGCATGTCTCTTTAACAAAAATGGGAGGGAGGGCCCTTGACATGACATGGGCTGACATGGTGACATGGCAAACGCTTGGTGATGTGAGCTCTTAGCATAGCATTTTTCACACAAAGTTTTTAATAAAAATTCAGTAAACAAGTTCTCCGCTCTGTTTTGCAGGAAAAAAAAAACAAAACTTTTTACACGAAGGCACAGGTTTCAACCATGAATTTTGGAGCTCGACAAGACAGAGGTTTATCCCCGAGGTCAGTTTGTTAGCTTAGCTCATAGCTTAGCTTCTCAGCTTAGCTGCTTTTAACGATCCAGGAGGGGAGAACGGGGGAATCTTTGTCTCCACCTCCATTTTCTATTTTCTCCTCCCCTCCCTATTGTGCCCCCAGGGGGGAGGGAAACAAAATGCAGTTTCAAAAGGCAGCTGCGTGATGAAGAGGACAGCTCAAGCTTGCGCAGGAGGAAGGTGAAGACATCGATCAATGACTTCCTGGTAGGCTACTGTATGTTTATTTTATTTTTTTTAAACCAGCCATGTTATTGGCACTGTTAAGAAAAAAAAAATACTGTACATACTTGTGTGTTACCAGTACGTATTTAATTAAAAGTTAAAAAAATAAATGTGTAAATATCTCGTTACAACATGGACACCATGTACAAATTATTATTACTTTTAATTTAGTGGGCGTGGCTTATATTCAGGTGCGCTCCATAGTCTGGAAATTACGGTAATCACTCCTTGCATACACACCAAGAGAAATCCAGTTTATCCATCTCGGGTAACGTTGCGCTAAATGATTTAGCAAAACAAATCAAAACTGTAATTTAGCCACATCTTTTTAAAATAAAATATAAGTGCTGAGCCCTGCTGGGCGTGCTGGTGCACCACACTTCAAACACTTTAAATGCTAGCACGTATTCACGGGATGTCTGATATGGTTAGGCCACAGATTACTGCGCCCGTCAGAGCTATGGAGATGCAACACAGCTGCACTTTCCACTGTGGCTGCCTTATTGTGGCGCCATGGAAACCTCATTAGCAAATAGGCACTCTGGATTTACATTTATCATCTGAGCACCACCACTGGGAGACATAGGTAGAAGGCAAGGGGGATTAGTTCAAGTTATACTGACAGGAACCTAACTGCTGGTTAATATGAACCCTCATAAGAGATCAGCTTTCAATTGCTTTGACTTGCAGCAAAGTGTATCAATCTTGAAAAATTTTGGAGCAATCAGTAACGTTAAATGACGATAAACTGCAGCCCCACAGCTTTCCCGAAAATATGCAGGAACTATAATGAAACCACATTTTCATCCAGCATAAAGTTCACTAATTACAATCTGGCATGGTGATAGATCAGGTTTTACCCTGAAGTAGACAAAGTGCTCGAATCTTATCCAAACACGTGAAAATAAGCCTAAACTCTAATATAATAAAGCTCTAATTATAGTCCTCAGATTTTATTAGATCACTGATTTACAAGAATAAATGAGTCAACAATGAAAGAACAAAGCTCCATGCACAAAACAAAAAAACACATCAATGTTCAAAGAGTAGGAGATTATTAACATAAGATTTAGCTTATGCTAAAATGTTGTTTTGTCTAATTCTTTGTTATATTTGGTTGTTTAAGTAATAGTCCAGTTTTTTTTAATACATGGGATTCAATGAAAAAGCTTTAACTTTTCTGTTATGGATAGCTCTTTGGATCATGTTAGTTTGGAGAAATAGAGTTTAATTTTAAAGTAACAGCTGATCTGAGACCAAAGTGAATTGCTGCCGTCCTAAAAAAACAAACAAACAAAAAAACCATTCAAAGCAATTTCTGCAAATGCTATGTAAAAACCTTTACACTGCGATCACGTGGAATTTAACAATTTGCAAGCAAAATGTTGACGAGCAAACCCTGATTTGCTCAAGTTGCAAGTACCAAAGTACTCTCGTTTACCATTTAAAATACTTCCACACCGTAGACATGTTGGCTCGTTACATCACGGCATTAGAGGGCAGCCGTGTTACAGTGCGGCACACATAAAACCACAGACAGAAGGCCAACAACAGAGGTGGAGCTGAGTGGAGTCAACTGCTCCACCTCTTCATGATCAGATACTTCAGATCATCTCAGGACATCATCAGTGTATGAAACTGTGAGCTGTATACATATTTCTAAAACAATTCTATGAACTGCTGTGAAATGGTTTGGTTTGAGCCTCACCAAGAATAGCCATTACCTAAGCAATGATCCATCCATCCATCAATTTTCTTCCGCTTATCCGGGGTCGGGTCAGGGAGTAGCATCCTAAGTAGGGAGGCCAAGACTTCCCTCTCCCCAGCCACTTGGACCAGCTCCTCCAGGGGAATCCCAAGATGTTCCCAGGCCAGGCGAGAAACATAGTCCCTCCAGCGTGTCCTGGGTCTTCTGCTGGGTCTCCTCCTGGTAGGACGTGTCCGGAACACCTCACCATGGAGACTTCCAGACCTGGAGGCATCCTAACCAGATGCCCGAGCCA